AAAACAAGCGGGGCCGGGGGGGCTCCCCCCCAGCCAGCAGGACGGACAGGCTGGAGCCAGAACGGGCAATGGCTACAACAGTCAAGGCTGGAAGAAAAGGCAGGCACTCTGTGCATTTTCCTAACTCTGAGCTGCAGCCGCATGGCTGTGTGGGGCAGGGGCACAGGGGGACCAGGAACTCAGTGCCACCTTCTGGGTTTTGGCTGCAGGGTGCTGATAGCCAGTGGGTGACGCCAACCCATGGCTCCCATGCAGGTTTGAGACAGATTTGGGTCCTGCCCTGCTCGCTCAGCCCAGGTCTCCCCGGCCCAGCTCAGAAACAAAAGGACACTTCTGCAAGTGATAAAAGAGTGGTTTATTCTCAGCAGGCTGGGGGAAGAAGAGCAGAGGGCTCCCTCCCATCTCGCCCTCACAGCAGGCATTACCCACACACACACATGCAGCCAGGGATGGGCCCAAACCCCAGGCTCGGGCACCAGCCAGCAGGGCCTGGAGGAGATGAACTTGGAAGCCACAAAATAACAGGGCAGGGGGTCACCGTGGTAGCAGCAGGTAGGAGTCCTAGGTCGCAGTGCTAAGCTGAGCAAAGGATGCCCTGGAAGGTGAGCCCTCTCCCCAGGGGTGGGCACCTTGGGCTTCCTTTGTCACCAGGGAGAACCTAGAGGAGAAGACAGCCTGGCCCAGACCACAGCCTCCTCTCTCAGGGACGCCAACAAACACAAGCAGAGACAGAAGAACATGTAAGGCTGCAAAACCTCATGCATGCCCCACCCCAGGGCAGCCCTTGCAGGCAAACCTCCCCCAGCAGGCAGAGCTGCCACTGCTGCCTGTGGTCACAAGTGCCAGGGACAGTGGCCCCGTGGCCCAGCTCCCACGGGAAGGACAGCCTGCCTAGCCCACCAGCTTGTTCCACGGGATGGTGCTGAAGAAGGGGTGGGACTTCAGCTTCGCCATGCCACCTCCTCCAGAGCCCAAACGGCGCTTTGGATTGTACTGTAGCAGCTGCAGAGAAAGGGGATAAGACAGCAGGATGGGGAGAGGGGGACACTGGAAAAGCTACCCAGGCTGGACCCTCCAGCCCCATCCTCCCTCCCTCCCAGCCAAGCCCCTCACCTCGGTGAGCAGCGACACAGCGGCCAGGCTGAGCCCCTCTGGCAGATGCAACTGGGTGTGAGGTTGAATCCCTGAAGGGTGGTTTTGGGACAGTGGCTTAACCCCAGCTCTACACAGCAGAATTTAAAACCCGGGGCCCTGAGCACCCAGAGACCATGCACAGGCACTAGGGGTCACATGCCTGAAGTAACCTGGAACGGTGCTGAGGTGCCAGCAGGGCAAGGCACCCTCCCAGCCCAGAAGGGCAGGGAGCTCTTCTGCTATGGTGTCACCTCCGCCTTCCCGCTCCTTGCACAGCTCCTCTGCCTCTTACCGTGCCTGTCAGCAACTCGTACAAGAGAGAGCCAAAGCTCCAGCAGTCAGCTGCTTCGGTGGGCTCCGCGATCCCCCCAACTTCTGCAGAAAGAGAAAGAGGCATTAGAGCTGGAGGCAGGGAGCAGCAGTAGCTGTGCCATGCCAGACACATCTCGCTGCCTGCAGAAGCCCCCTCCCCCCGGTTGTGAGCACTGGGCCGAGGGCAGGGGACACGTCCCTTACCTGGGGCACTGTACAGCTCTTCCCGTGCCTGGCTGCAGCACTGGGGCTCCACCTCTGTCCACTGGCCAAAGAAGGTGATACGGACGTGACCTGCAGAGCAGCACCAGAGCCAAAAGCAGGGAGGTTAGGATGAATCTGGAGACTTTGGTTGGAGCACAAAGCCAAGCCATATCCCCGCAACCGGGAACAGCCAGGGGCACTGGGACCCTGCCATGCCCCGAACACAGAGGCAGGGTGCATTCCCCGGCACTGTGCATCCCCCGGCCTCCCAGTGCTTGCTCCAGGTGCCCAGGCCCGTGCAGCTGATGAGACTGGTTAGGTGGGCTCCAAGCTTGCGGACCTAAGGGCAGGCTGTCGTGAGGAAAGACGCAGTGCCGAAGGGAGGAAGGTTCGCTTTCCCCTTGCAAAGCTCTCTGCATTTTTCTTTTCTTAAGCAATTTGTAGCTCTCTGGTTTGCCCCAGGTGTTGCCAGCTGAGCAGGGATGTGCACCGGGCTTGCACTGACAGTGGTACCTATGGCTTGAAGGGATGGGCAGGCTCCAGAATACCCCAGTAAGCAGTAACTACAAGCAGGGGAAAGCTGCAATCCCACTAACCTCAGGCACAGTTCAGCTGGTCTCAGCTTCCCCGTGCTGGGATTTCCCAGGCAGCCAGCCCCAGGGTGGGAGCAGGGGGCAATGCATTCCTGTGGCTGCGGCCCCTGACTCTCCCACTGCAGAGCCAACTCTTGTAATAACTGCTTGGAAATCTCAACTGGGACTGCACTTCCAGGTTCAGAAACATCCAAACCTCCCCAGACTCCCAACCCTCCCCCAAAGCAAACTCAAGAAAGTCCGTGTCCCTGGAAATGGGGCAAACGGCAGTCTCCCAGCCCAGAGGCCAACCTCCTTCTCATCGGGGCAGCAGCCTGGAGCACTACCTACCGGCTGCATCAAGCAGCAGGTTCCTGGGGTTGAGGTCCCGGCACAGTACACCCTGTTGGTGAAGTCCCTCTAAGGCCAGGAGGATTTCCGCTGCCCACAGCTGCACCTGCTCCTCATTCACAGCCCACGCTCTCCGGCACTGTCCAGGGCGCAGCTGCTCCCTGAGCTGGCCACAGGTCAGGCTTGCTCCCCACGAGGGCTCCCGCACCACTGGGTCAGCCCCACGGGGCTTGCCAGAGCTGGTCGGGGCAACTCCTGCATGAAGCTGCCTCTGACCCAAGGAGGTCAGGAGAGGCCGAGCCCAGGGGACCTCAGACACTGGCTGAGACGGCGGCTCCCCTGCCCCTGACTGGCTCCCTCTCACAGTCTTCCATTCAGGGATGGGTGTCTGGGGAAGCCTTTCACCGGCATGTGGCCTGTGGTCTTGCTGGGAGGCTGCTCTCTCCGAAATGCAGCCTGTGCTGCTGGTTAGAGCGTCCATGGGGTAGATGACCAGGCCCTGGTTGGTAAGGTGTCCGGAGCCTTTGGCTAATGCTGCTGGAACACGGTCCATGACGCCAGACATAGCCTGGGTCACACTTAGATCCTGCCCTCCAGGTGCAGTCCTCGTGGCACCGGTGGGAACCAGGCGAAGCCGGCAGTGGTTCCCTGAGCCGGGGTCCATGGGGTCAGGGGACGGCTCCTGAGCAGGCAAGGCATTGGTGTTTCCCAGTACTCGGTGGGTCACAGAGCCTGTGGGGCCACTGCCTGTCTGAGCAGAGAAGATGGACACTTGGCTGCTGGCTTGAACGGTGTTTGAATCGGCAGAGCCCTGCTGGACACAGTACTTGGAGCGGAGGTGAGACCACAGCATCTCCCCTGGAAAGCGGAGAGAACAAGTGATGGGGCAGAAAGCATCCCTAGTTCCCCTGCTGCAGACACAGCCCGTTCAGGTGCAGGCCAAGGCCCACATGCTGGGGACCTGACCGAGCATCATTAATCTCCCCAACAAAGCTCAAGTCCATGCAGAATACTCCTCAGCCCTACACACACACCATGCTCAACACCACACCTCCCCCAGGACCTGGCACACCAAAGACTCATCCCCGCCCTCCTTTAGCAGCCCTGCTCCCCCTTCTGCACAGTCTCCTTGATCCCAGCTCTGCCACTTCCATGTCACAGGCCAGCCACATCTTCACATGTGCCCCTGGTCCCACCGCCATCCCCACTTTCCCCCCAAAACCTTTCCTTCCTGCATGATGGTGATGCTAGAGAGCTCCCACAGCATAGCACAGAGCCCGTAGGTCAGCAGTGAGTCCTGGAACCCACAGCACACTGCTGGAGCGTCCCAGCCTCACCACACATTCAGCTGATGGCTGCTTTCTACAAATTCATCCTACAGCAATGCATGAGGAGCTGAGGCTATTATCCACCACACATCAGCCTTTATTTGCCATTGCTGGACTCCAGCTGCTGCTCCCTACACATCCATGTAACCAGCAGAGAGCAAAGAAGCTCCTCGGGACAAACCTCCACCTTGTCACACCAGCATCTGGGACAAGCCCCAAGCTTGCCTCCTTGTTGTACCTGAAGCCCAATGTGTTCCCTGCCCTTTATGCCCCGATTCTGCATCTCCTCTCTTTGGTCTGATCTCAAAATCCAGTGTGGACTCTTCTTTTGTAACTAAAAAAGTTTTATAAAGGTCTTATCAAACAATTGTTTTGTTCTACAACATCCAGGTGAACTACCTCACTTGCATCTCCTTCTCCATTACTTCCTGTCACGGGCAAACAATGCCAGTAAAGTTAAGAGGTTTTTCTTTTCAAGACACTGGACCGCATCAACCTCTCTACCATGACCATTCCCTCCCATGGGACTTAGTGGTCCCTAAGGCTACTTTCCATATAACACCCCTATCCACACAAACTCTTTCTCCTTGTAGGTCTCCACAGGCCCATTTCTAGGTTACTTCCCCAGTACCAAACCTCCAGAATCCCCAATACAGCTCAGCAGCTCCTTCCAAAAAGTCTCCAAGCCCTGGTTACCCATCACCTTTCTATGAAGAAGACAGCTTGTGCTGTCACTATAAAAAAACAGTCCCAAACCAGAAGAAGAAACATATTTGAGACATTAAAGAAAGGGAGGCTGGGGATAAGAGCAGGATGCTCCACAGATGGGAGGCCATGCTGTCCCTACTCACCCTGCACGTGCTCCAGGTGGAGGAAGATAGAGTCCTCACTCACATAGTAGCACAGTAGCTTGACCATGAAGGGGACCCCATGAGGGATGATGGTCTGTCGCTCACGCGTCTCAGTGTGGGATTTGGGGAGGCTCTGAGGAGGTACAGGTAGATAGATGTTAGAGCACAGTGGTGGCTTGGACTCCCTGCAACCTAGCACGTGGCAGGGCAGGAGGCCAGCCAGAACGGTAGCGTGCTATCTATCTGCTAAGCCCCAGGGCTGCTCCCCCTGTGTCACCTGCAGCGGAGCTGCCCGTCAGCCCCCAGCACCCAGCTGTGACAAGGCAGGGCTCTGCAAAGCTCTGCCTAGGCAGAGCGCTCCCCACCTGCACTGCAGGACCCAGAGGACACTTGCTGGTCCAGAGCTGTGGCCTTCCCCCCAATCTTAAAGGCCTTTTCCAACCAAAGTGATTCTATGATTCTAACTGCCCCTATTTCTTCAGATGGAACCCGTCATCTCAGCCCTCTCTCCTCTCCCCTCCAGGACTGATGATTCTCCCGGTCATGCAGAGCCTCCTTGACCAATTATTAAAGACTTTTATTTTTAGTTCCAAGGGCACTGGAAAATGCCCTAGGACTTGTACTGACCACACCTCACCCCACCACCTATTTCAGGGGTTGACCCAGATTAATGTGGGTGCAAGGCTCAGCCTGCAGCATTAGAAGGCAGAGAAACAGATGATTGAGGAGAACCGCTTCCCTTCCAATCACAGAAAAAGTCCGAGGCAGCCAAAAGAAGCTTTGTGAACAATGAACTTCCTCTAACACTCTGTGATCTGCTGTTTTTTGGTCCCCTCACCTGCCCCAGCACCTGCTTGGACAAGGAGACTCTGGCACGGCAGGGAGAAACAGACAGGTGAAACTGAAGACACCCACCTTAAGTATAAAGGTCCCACCAGTGGCTGGGTCCTGGACGATCTGCACCTGGGAGCAGTATATACAGTACCAGTCAGAAGTGGTGACTGCTCCCACCCCAACATACAACCTACAGCAATGACCCCAGGACTCAACTCTGGAACAACAAACTCCCACCCAACCAGAGGAGTTTGGTGGTGCTCAAACCCCTACTCTTGAAAGACAAAACACAGGTTATTAGCAATGAGGTAGCCACAGAGCCAGGGGGTAGAGAGTTAAAGAAAGAGGTGACTCCCACACCATTTTTGCTTCCTTCACAATGAAGGGTTGTGACCTGCTCCTTCAGGGCTCTGTGGGGTGCACTGGGCTGCCCACCTGGACCTCGGCAGGACAGGAGGACCACATGCATCCTGACAAATGGAGATGTGTGAATGGCAGAAGAGAGCAACATGCCAGTGTGTACATGGAGACAACAAACCATCTTCACTCCAAGATCATGAACTACTACTTAGTTGATTCATCCATATAGCTTGTCTCCTGCTGAGGTCTAGATTATCCATAGGATAATCCATACAAGTCCACCATCATGGTACCTAGGCATCAAGCACGATTCCGTGCATGGGAAAGGATCGGATGCATCAACCTCCTTGTAAATATCTTGGCAGATCTTGTAAGCAAAATGGAATGGGGACATTAACAGATTTCCCAACCAATGCCTAAATGGTCTTGCATCCTCACCTGCGAATTTTCCTTGGTGGGAATGGTGTGGAGGTAACCCTCACGTTCCTTGGTGGGTGCGGTGAGGGCCAGCACCCCCACTCCAGCTGCCAGGACCCTCCAGGTTGCACTGCCCTTGGTCCAGCCCCAGCCTCACCCCCCCAGTTCCAGGTTGAGAGGTTTCAGCTGAATACGAGGAAGAACTTCTTTACTTTGAGGGGGACAGAGCACTGGAACAGGCTGCCCAGGGGGGTTGTGGAGTCTCCTTCTCTGGAGATATTCAAAACCCGCCTGGAAAATGTCCTGTGCAACATGCTCTAGGTGAACCTGCTCTAGCAGGAGGGTTGGACTAGATGATCTCCCAAGGTCCCTTCCAACCCGTGCCATTCTGTATGATTCTGTGATTACCTTATCGATCACTCCCACAACCTTACACCGTCTCAGGTTCTCCACTGCTGAGCTCAGCGTCCTGATCGGCCGGAAGCGCAGGCTGCTGTAACCCTGCAAGGTGGTGAAGAAGAGGATGAGGGACCTAGAAATGCTACTGTTCATGAAAGCGGGTGGGAGAAGTCCCCGCATTTTCCAGAGCAGGCAGCAATACTGCCAGGCTGGTCAACATCCGGAGACAATTCTCCAGTCTCTGTGGCTGACTCCTAACGATCCGAGGGCTGGAGCACCTCTCCTATGAGGACAGGCTGAGAGAGTTGGGCTTGTTCAGTCTAGAGAAAAGAAGGCTGCGGGGAGACCTGATTGCGGCCTTTCAGTACCTAAAGGGGGCCTATAGGAAAGAGGGGGAAAACCTTTTTAGTAGGGCCAGCTGCGTTAGGACAAGGGGTAATGGTTTTAAACTAAATCGGGGTAGGTTTAGGCTAGATATAAGGAAAAAATTCTTTACAATGAGGGTGGTAAACCACTGGAACAGGTTGCCCAGAGAGGTAGTGGAGGCCCCATCCCTGGAAACATTCAAGGCCAGGTTGGATGGGGCTCTGAGCAACCTGATCTAGTTGGCGGTGTCCCTGCTGACTGCAGGGGGGTTGGACTCGATGACCTCTAGTGGTCCCCTCCAACCCAAAACATTCTATGATTCTATGATTCTATGATCTGCTGGACCATTTTCTTGGCCAGCTCCTGGATTTCTGAAGATTTCAGGGAAAGCTTGCACCTGCAGCAGAGGTAAAATCACTCCAAAGTTTACACCTGGACCCGGACTGCCTCAAGACTAAGGGAATCTGTATGGAAGGTAGTTGCCATTCTCCTCTAGTCCTTCTCACCAGGCCCTGACCCTTCCCTGCCTCACTTCCCTCTCCCTTCATTAACCACCTCCCTCCCACGATACAGCAAGCAGCCATTGCCTTTGATTTCCATCCAGATGGGAACAATGACAGGGAAGGTGACATTTTTAACATCTGACAAGGTGGTTCCCTCTGGTGGCTTCAGTCCCACCAAAAATGGCCATTTTCACTATAATCGCCACAAGCAAAAACATACACACCTCGGGGGTGAGGGTCCTGGGAGTGCCCCAGGCAAGCTGGGCCCACCTCAGCTCTTTGCTCCAGGCAGGGCAAAGGGCTACCAGCTCCCGCGCAGCCACCGGCATGCTGGGACATGCTGCAGCTGACGTGTCTGCCATTTTCTCTATGCCATCTTACCATGACATCTGGCAGAGGCGGTCAGGGAGGCTCAGGGGGGCTTTTATGTGTGTCCGTCCCCCAGGTTTCCCAGTGCCACAGATCCACTGCCATCCCACTCATGCTGCCCCACGCCAGCCCCTCACCGTGCCGGTGGGGTTGCCACCCCCTGCAGCCCGCTGGAGGTGGCAGTTGAAGATCTCCTCCGCACGCCTCAGGTATTGTGTGATCTTCCGCTTCACAGCCTCCCGGCGCTCCTTGTTGGGGTCAACTGCAGGCAGCACGGAGGGCGGGTGTGAGGACACGGCCTGCTGTGCTCCCCAGAGGGATGCCCCAGTCCCCTGGCCACAGTCCCCAGAGGGATGCCCTGGCCCCCCTGCTGGTTTCCGCAGGTGGATGCTCTGGTACCCTGGCCATGCTCCCCAGATGGATGCCCCTGTCCCCTGGCCATGCTCCCCCACGGGATGCCCCGGCCCCCTCACTGTTTTCCCTGGAGGGATGCTCTGTTTCCCTGGCCATGCTTCCTGGATGGACGCCCCATTTCCCTGGCCATGCTTCTTGGAGGGATGCCCTGGCCCCCTGGCTGCACTCCCCAGAGGGACACCCTGGCCCCTTCACTGGTTTCCCCGGAGGGATGTCCTGCTCCCCTAGTTGCGCTTCCCAGAGCGATGCCCTTGCCCCCTGGTTGTGCTCCCCAGAGCCCCGATCCCCTGGCTGTTCTCCCTAGAGGGATGCCCCGGTCCCCTTGCTGGTTTCCCTAGAGGGATGCCCCGGTCCCCTTGCTGGTTTCCCTGGAGGGATGCCCCGGTCCCCCGGCCCAGCTTCTTGGAGGGATGCCCTGGTCCCTTGGTCATGTTTCTCGGAGGGATGCCCCGGCCCCCTGGCTGGTTTGCCCAGAGGGACGCCCTTGTCCCCTGGTTGCGCTCCCCAGAGCCCCGATCCCCTGGCCGTTCTCCCTGGAAGGACGCCCCAGCCCCCTCGCCCGCCGAGGCGGCCCCGCGCACCCTGCACGCCGCCGA